ATTTCCTTCCCTTGTGTCTTGATGGTCTGATGAGCCTGGGTCATTTCTGCTTCTTGGTCTTCGACCTTCTTCTGGAGATCTGGGAGACACTGCTGCAGACTGGAGTTTTCTAGCTCTTGTGTCTTGATGGTCTGATGAGCCACGGCCATTCCTACCACATGATTTCTGGCCGTCTGCTGGAGATCTCGAAGACTCTCCTTCACACTACAAAAGTTTTGCCTTTGTGTCTTCGTGGTCTGCTGAGCGCTGTTCATCTCCTTGTCTTGAAGGCTTACGGAAGGCAGAGAGGGAGAGGACATATAGGGGGAAGAAGCAGCTAAAGACCCTTCCTCCCGTACCTCTTGGTCAACAGAACGCTCCTTCCGAAAATCCTCTGAGCTGTTAAACGCTTTCTCCGTGTCTCTCCATTCTTTCACCTTTTTGCTAATTTCACCCAGCTTGAACTCGCGCCGCTTAATCTTCTTATAGGCACCTTGATTTGTCTTTAACATGAGGCAGGTTTCCTCCGTGAGTTTTCTTTCTTCCTGCCGTGCTTCCTTCTCCTTGCAGAGCTGGGTGATCTGGTTCTTTTGGTCAGCTTCAACTTCCTGCAGATGAACGATTATTTCCACAGCTTCTCTGATCGTGTCCCTTAAAGTCGATATTTGGAGGTTGGATTTTTTCTCTAAGTCCTCTAGTTCGATCACCCGATCTGTCAGGACGGCAATCTTCTCCCTGGCTGTAGTGAGCTCTTCCATTACAGCCTTTTGGAAATTACTCGCCATAAGTGTGCTTGTGTGACCATCCAGGCCGTCCTGGGGACCGATTATGATCGAGTTACTCTCAGCCATAAGTGTGCGTGTGTGTCCGTCCTGTGAACTTGTGTACTTGTGCACTTCACATGACAGATGCGAAAGGGCGTGGCCTAATAGGACGTCTGAGTGACGTGTTCGACATCAAAGGGAATGGGCGGGGCCTAGTATGACGTTCGGAGTGACGCGTTCGACATGAAAGGGAATGGGCGGGGCTTAGTATGACGTTCGGGGTGACGCGTTCGACATGAAAGGGAATGGGCGGGGCTTAGTATGACGTTCGGGGTGACGCGTTCGACATGAACGGGAATGGGCGGGGCCTAGTATGACGTTGGAGTGACGCGTTCGACATCAAAGGGGGTGGGCGGGGCCTAGTATGACGTTTGAGTGACGTGTTCGACTTCAAAGGGAATGTCTCTCACACAGTGTCTCACACACTGTCACTCATACTGTCCCACAGACTGTCTCTCACACAGTGTCTCACACACTGTCACTCATACTGTCCCACAGACTGTCTCTCACACAGTGTCTCACACACTGACACTCATACTGTCTCTAACACAGTGTCTCACACATTGACACTCATACTGTCCCACAGACTGTCTCTCACACAGTGTCTCACACACTGTCACTCATACTGTCCCACAGACTGTCTCTCACACAGTGTCTCACACACTGACACTCATACTGTCTCTAACACAGTGTCTCACACACTGTCACTCATACTGTCCCACAGACTGTCTCTCACACAGTGTCTCACACACTGTCACTCATACTGTCCCACAGACTGTCTCTCACACAGTGTCTCACACACTGACACTCATACTGCCTCTCACACAGTGTCTCACACACTGTCACTCATACTCTCCCACAGACTGTCTCTCACACAGTGTCTCACACACTACCACTCATAGAGAGAGACAGTCTGTGGCAAACGCAGAAGCACGCGCCGGTCTTCAGCCTGCGGTTCCCGATGGACCTGCACTGCTCTGTGCGGCAACGTCGGCCTCTAACACCCTGGTGTTCATGTGCCTCGGCCTCCCGAGATATCCATTAGCAGCGTAACTCGCCAACATCTTTTTCCTCATTTTTGCCAACTCGGTGCCTCTGTCTTCCATCCTCCTCCCAAAGAACCCTAGGGTCCTTTTCTTCATCTGGAAGCAGATGTCCTCCAGGATTTGCTTATCCTCCTCCAGTTGTTCCCTTTTCATCCGCTCAGTCTCGTACTCTCTCCTCAGGGTCAAATCGTCTCTCTTACAGTTCTGGATCTGGATGAGTTCAGTTGTCTTGTCTGTGAGGACACTTCGGCTCTCCAAGAGGCACTTCTCGAGGTCGACGATGGCGGACTCCAGTAAACGTGACTTCCTACTAAATATAAGCTTTTCTTCAGAGAGCTTCTGAATTTCTACCGCTTGATATCTATTCACCGTATGGAGGTCTTGGAGTCTCTCCTTCAGAGTGGAGATTTCCTGCCCTTGTGTCTTGATGGCCTGATGAGCCTGGGTCATTTCTGCTTCATGGTCTTCGACCTTCTTCTGGAGATCTGGGAGACACTGCTGCAGACTGGAGTTTCCTAGCTCTTGTGTGTTGATGGTCTGATGAGCCACGGCCATTCCTACCACATGATTTCTGGCCGTCTGCTGGAGATCTCGAAGACTCTTCTTCACACTACAAAAGTTTTGCCTTTGTGTCTCCGTGGTCTGCCGAGCGCTGTTCATCTCCTTGTCTTGAAGGCTTACGGAAGGCAGACAGGGAGAGGACATATAGGGGGAAGAAGCAGCTAAAGACCCTTCCTCCCGTACCTCTTGGTCAACAGAACGCTCCTTCCGAAAATCCTCTGAGCTGTTAAACGCTTTCTCCGTGTCTCTCCATTCTTTCACCTTTTTGCTAATTTCACCCGGCTTGAACTCGCGGCGCTTAATCTTCTTATAGGCACCTTGATTTGTCTTTAACATGAGGCAGGTTTCCTCCGTGAGTTTTCTTTCTCCCTGCCGTGCTTCCTTCTCCTTGCAGAGCTGGGTGATCTGGTTCTTTTGGTCAGCTTCAACTTCCTGCAGATGAACGATTATTTCCACAGCTTCTCTGATCGTGTCCCTTAAAGTCGATATTTGGAGGTTGGATTTTTTCTCTAAGTCCTCTAGTTCGATCACCCGATCTGTCAGGACGGCAATCTTCTCCCTGGCTGTAGTGAGCTCTTCCATTACAGCCTTTTGGAAATTACTCGCCATAAGTGTGCTTGTGTGACCATCCAGGCCGTCCTGGGGACCGATTATGATCGAGTTACTCTCAGCCATAAGTGTGCGTGTGTGTCCGTCCTGTGAACTTGTGTACTTGTGCACTTCACATGACAGATGCGAAAGGGCGTGGCCTAATAGGACGTCTGAGTGACGTGTTCGACATCAAAGGGAATGGGCGGGGCCTAGTATGACGTTCGGAGTGACGCGTTCGACATGAAAGGGAATGGGCGGGGTTTAGTATGACGTTTGAGTGACGCGTTCGACATCAAAGGGAATGGGCGGGGCCTAGTATGCCGTTTGAGTGACGCGTTCAACATCACAAGGAATGGGCGGGGCCTAATTGAATTAATTTTAATTAGTAACAAAAAAATTATTTTGCTGTTTTTCTAATTTTAGGAGCACATTAAGCTTTCTACGACTATAGCACTGCCTTCATTTAGAAATGTTTCGATATAGCCTTTTCGTTTGGAAACAAAACCCAAATTGAGAATGTGAATCCAATGTTGTATTGTTGGTTGACCTCACAGAATTGATGATGTGCCAGCGCCACTTGGTCTTGATTCATAATGAATGGAATTATCCTAAAGCAAGATTATAGAATGATTTGAACTCAAATAAACAGATTTTAGAGATGCTGCATCATTCTATAATTGTCATACATGTTGGTGAAGTTTGTGTTTGTGTCCCATCTTACGTCTGATTTTGATACTTCCTGTTTCATTGTGGCGTCTAAACTTCTCTCTTTTCAGGTGCTTTGCCCTTCCTCAGGTGTCTCCTGTCGATTGTCTCCCCTGATTCCTAATTGTCTCTACCTGTTCCCTCACCTCCCTCATGGATACTTATTGTCTGCGTCTCCCTTTGTCCTGTACCAGTGTCTCTTGTAGTCGTACATGTCCACACCCGCGTTCATATTAGTTTTGGAAAGGATCATTGCATATTGTATTATTAGATATAGGAATAATTGGATTTATGGAATAAATCTCTAGCGGTCAACCCTCTCTGCGTCCTTGTCCTCTTCCAGGGCTCCGGCCCCATTGAGAATAATGCCCCATCACAGATCCGTGGCAGAACAAATGTGAACATTTAAAATGCATTGAAGCTGAATGGACAAAGAGAAGCTGATGACAGGGAACTAATATTCTCTAGATTCAGACCAATATCTTGTGAAAGCATTTCAAAACCTCCTCTGGCTTTCACACTGAAATCTCACCAATAACCAGCCTAAAATGAATTATTAAACATGATTCAACTTTCAACAGCCTTTGAGTGTAATCGGGAGATAATTGTGACTGAGAGCAAAATGGAGAGGTTGCACAGCTTACAGGATGATACAGACGTGGAGATCTGAGGAATGTGTTCTTATAAGCCTCGTGAAGAGGGGAGGGTTATGGCATCGGCTGGTCTGTGCTGCAGAGAAATGTCCCTTCAGCAGCTTCTTTCATTGTGAGGCTGATCCTCCATTCATCTCATAACAAAAGACTATGTGGACAGATATCAGATATCCGACCGCAGGGGGACATCAAGTCTTGGAGTCTCAGGGGGATCGGAGCCAAAGGGAGCGTGCATGCGGTGCAGGAGCGTTCAGAACTGGTTGCAGAGCGCGTGGGACCCCTCGCTGACTGGACTGTCGTGAAGGCACAATCAGAGTTTTTTTTGACACAGTTAAAAGTAGCAGTGCCAGATATTATGAAAAAGAGGAGGAGGAGGGAGATAATGGAGATGTGGCACAACCTAAACCAGACTTGGTGAGAACCCCCCCCCCCAGATTTTCACAGGAGAGTCTTCAGCATTGGAATAAACAATGAGCTGACACACATCGTCGCCGTGTTTTGCATCTTTATCAAAAAGCAACACAGCTAGAATGAGTTAATTCAAAAACCAGGTGCTGATCGTGTGTGATGAAATTGATCCATCCCTCACAAGCAGCAGGATCAGCATGCAGCTCGCGGCAGATGCAGCCTGATGAACCTACCGGGCGGACGACGGCTGGACGGCTTCCAAGGCTTCCCCTCAGATCACACAGGAGACTCCCAGCAGACCCGTTTCCTCGCTCATCCTCTGCACGAAGCCTGCGTTCTCCCTGCGTGCGTTGCTATATCTGCCCGTGTTGCTTTTCTCTTACTCTTTTCTCCGCCTCTCACCCCCCCCCCTCCTACCCAACCTCTCTCTCTCTCTCACTCTCTCTCTCCCCCCCAAGTGAGGACTCCCTCCACCGCGATCCCTTTAATGTGCACTCCTCACTGCAGAAAAGCATCGCTGAGGTGTGGAGGGAGGCTGCAGTCTATTCCCCCATCAGCGCACAATCAGTATAATATAAAAAATAACACCGTGTGACATTAGTTTGAGCTGTGATTTGTGGGTATTCCTGAGAATGTGACCTATTTACTAACCCACAAATCTAACTTTTAGGATCCTCATAATCACTTTGGGAATTAGATGTATGTATTAAAAAGGAATAGATATTTGCGTAGATAATGATGCACCTTAAACATCTCTTTAGGCGTTGTCTAAGGTGCATGTTTATTCACGACCACAGCGTTGATGACACAACCTGGAGCTAAACGTGAATGCCTAATAGTTGAGGGATCTCTGTGCTTAACAGCTTTAGGAGGGTTTAAAAACAGTTTAATGATGATTGAATAGTCTTGGTCTGCAGGAAAGGTGATCATGAAATGCAGGAATACTATAATCACAAAGACCTCTATGTTGATTGTTGAGCAATATTCACTACCTCGACAGATTAATATTATAGAGCCGTGTTTTTAATTGCCATCATTACAGCAGCTAGTGGAAATCCAAATAAAAGAACTGAAGCGAAAATGCCAGCATGTAGGAGGTACATGACAAGAAAAAAAGAATCGGTAAAGGGTCAAGCTGACATTTTGTTTATTCAAAAGTAAACAGGGGACTGGAATGACGCATAGAATAGGCATCATCATTTTATCTTTTATTTATTACACCTCCCGGCAACCGTAGATCCCCCCCCCCATCTAGCGAGCAACTGTTGGCCTTCTTCTAACAAGGGATCCATACGGAGAGGAGGAGAGGCCGGCTCAGCCTTTTGATATCGAGAGGCACTAACAAGTTGTTTGCTGCCGAGCGAAGTGCTGACGTTCCCCACGTTTATTTACTCAGCGCTTCTCTTGCAGATGCTGGTGAGTCACCCACGGCGCGAGTGTATAGGGACCCGTCGCGGTGTGACGTGGGTCGAGCTCGGGGTCCTCGTATGAGACGCGACCTCCCGACCCTGAGGGCGACGCGTCGTCGTCCCCTGCTGCCAGCGAGCATCCGTCAAGGAGACGGCATCGGGTCGAGACCCAAAGGGGCTTCTTCATCCGTTACCTTACAGTTCAATGAGCAATGCTGTGGTCCCATTGAGGTGCTTCTCAAGGCTGCACTCACTTCATCCACAATTCCTAAATTATCTAAGGGATCAAAAGCACACACACAGTTATTAGTGACCAACAGCTCAGTGGTTGATCGAACCTTCTTCGAAAGGGAAAGAGATGAGTTTGGCCGGATGAATAGTGCTCTCAGCGTTGCATAATGAAAATGATCATTCAGTAATTCCTTTGGGTGTGGTTTCGATGTGAGCGTTGGAAACCATGGAAACCACAAATTGATTTCCAACCGGAACAAAAATAGAACCATGACCTTTGACCCAGCAATTGGTCACACGTCGTTGCCAACACGTCGAGTAGTTTTACCTGCTAAATCTCATCGTATCCGTGACATGTTTCTGAGCTGAAAATAGAATGACACGTGCACGCGGTTAACAGCCTCTCGGTCGGCAAGCAATCAAATTGCTCTTTTGATAAAAGTGTGATGGAAATACTGATGGATTCATTAACTTAGAGATGCAACACCTCTTAGATAATCACATGTTCTCCACTCAATTACGTCGCACCGAGCATCTAATTAGTAAGTCCGCTCCCCAGAAAGCAAGCGTTCAATATTGACGTTTTACAGTATACATCAATAACGCGTGGGTGGTTTGTATGCAGCACTGTTCTGCCGGTCTCCTCTCGGTGCAGAGGACTAATCGGAACAACGGCCTCGGAGGAAATTAGAGGCCTGCTTCAGAGGTGAAGTGTTAAGCTCGCGTGCGCAGATCCACAACCGGAGCGCTTCATTAGCTGGAACTCGCTCACGAGCCGACGCGAGTGAAATGAAAGACAATCGCCTGCACCGAGCTGGTGGGTCGGTTGCTTCGGTGGTGGAGGAAGTATTCAGATATTTTCCTTCAATATAGTATACAACAATTAAAAAAAATTGCCAAAAAAAGGCCTGCTTTGATACATCTGTGACTCATACATTATTTTAAAATATGTCAATGCTGCTTTATCAAAACGTAAGTAGCGTTTCGTGTAGCTGGTCCAGTGGTTCCTAAAGGGTTGGAACCGCTCTGAAGGGCAACTCGTGCCTGTACACATAAGGAGGAGCCGTAGAAGTTGTCATCCGTTGGTTTGTGGACTGTTGTTTTCAAACCTTAATTTCAGGCCTTTTCACTTTGCTTTTTGCAACCGTTGAAAGGAAACCACCATGTTTGGACTGCAGAGGAGGAGCACGCAGACACTGTCACAGACGTCGTCTTCAGACCGTTCCAGGAAGTGTTTGACTTATTTTATTCCATTTAAACTATGAGGGAGGGGGGGGGGGGGCGTCAAGGCTACTCGCACTTGTTGAATCATTACTCATCCCACGCAAATTCAGTTATGTTACAAAAAACAGAAGGTACAACATCATATTCAAGCACGTATTTATGAAAAAAGAAAGGAGTGTGGGAGAAATATGAGAATGGAATGAAAAGAGGCAACATGTTTCCATATCGGCTGATGAGTAATGTTCAGTGACTGATTGGAACTACGGCTGTCAATTGTTAGACAGAAATTAAATATATAACGTGTCCGAATAGATATTTCCAAGAGCAAATATACTGTTTTGCTTGCAGAATGTCTCATGATGAGGTTGTATTGCAGAGTGAAACACATGCATTGCTAAACGCCACCATGGGTCAGTCCTGGTCTCACTTACACACACATGAGTGTATAATTATCCCCAGGTTGTCAAGGAAACCAACACAGACGACGCCACGAGTGTGCTTTATGTCACATCTTACTCGGGGTGTGACTCCGCCGGGGTTGGTTTTTTCCTGAGTGCCAGTTACATAAAAAGGAGCATGTGAGGCTGAGCCCCCCGTGAGCTTTGACCCCAATCTTCATTCTCGCACTAATGCTGAAGAAAAAACGCTGCAGGATGCTCCAGCAGACACGGGGAAGCAACCATAGTTGAGTCATATCAATCATGGTCTTGATATTATACAGTGATATGGAGACGACCAAGAACGCGGTGAACCCGTTCTACGACTAAAAGCAAAGAAGTGTTCCCTCAGACTCTGTGTCAGAAGAACACGATGTACTTATAATATGCTGTGTGTACACACACACACACACACACACACACACGGGAAATGCTTCAACCCGGCGCACAACAGCCTCAGCTGTTCACTTGAAGGCAAAACCCGCATTATTTAAAAACAGCACTTCCGAAATGCTTATGGCTGAAATCAAATGTAGGGTTGTGTAACTGTCCTAAGAGGCGGATACATGTGCAAGGATACATATGCAAGCCAGATCCCATGTGATGAGCAAAAAATGTATCTGACGTTCAATATTGATATTCAAACGTCTCACATATTTACATTTAAACAGTTGGTTGGTGCAGGTAGAGCCGTGAGTAAGTTGATGCCTCTGTGCATTCATTTGCATTTGATATAAAAGAACTATCATTAAACGTGGCTGCAGCAGTTGAGACAGTGTCTCGTGTTGTTCGCCTTGTTGCTATGATACCAAGGCGATGGTGGGGATACTCCAGCATGGGCTTCTCTTGGCAGTTTGAAGTAGTTTTAGGTATTTGTACATGCAAACTATAGGGATCACCATGTGTGACGCAAACTGTGCTTCACGCTTGTTGTTGTTGTTGTTGTTGTTGTTGTAGTTGTTTCTGTTGACTGAATGGGTCTCAGCATAAGAAAGTGTTTTGTTTTGTACACAAGAATCAGTCGGTGTTTCATTGTGTGGATTCAGATCACCACGAGTATTTGACCAGCTTCGAAAATATAATGTACGTCACAAAGGGTGCACCGGAGCTGAGAGATTCTCATGTATAATATAAGTATATTATTTACTTGGGCCGGTTAGCTATCAGCAGAATCCTCCCGGATTAATGAGCGTTCTCTTCCTGAGTGTCTCACTGAATTGGGCTCTTCTCCAGATATTGAGAAATCTCATTTTGTTCACTTAACTTGATGGTTTATTTATGAATTGCTCCTAGTGATGTTTTTTCCATTGGTCTTCCTAAACCACTTTTCTGCCAGAGAAATATTGCATCAGTTTAAGCAGCAAACTGGTTTTCTGGGGTGATGCAGGTTCATATATATAACCTGCAAACTTCATGGTGATTGTGCGAATGAGGGTTCACATTTTAAGTGAAATATCTCAATAAATATTGGATGGATTGTCATGAATTTCCCTTAATTTGTACTTTCTGCTAAGCAAGGACAGGGATATTTGTACACATGATACCGACTGAAGATGACATTACTTCCCTGTCGAGCACACTGTTTAGTGTTTGCTGTGGGTCCCCTCTGAGTTGCCATGGTTGCTGGAGCTGCACTGAGGTCTTGATGCTTGGCTGCTTCCTCTGTGGATGTCAGACACGCTGCAACAAATCCAGAGTGACGGACAGCAGTGAAACGCTGAGAATACGCAAAGGTCCGTTCAAGTTTTCTCTTTGTAAGGAAAGAATTCTGCTCCCTATTATTTTTCCGATGTTTCTCTCCCTTGTGATATAGATTTGAAAGTACCCAAAAGAGGGAACTCGACGTGTTATTGATCACGTCGCAGACGCTCCCTTGTGTCCTCGGGCTTTTTGAAATACGAATCTGGTTAAAAAAAAGAAAAAGGGAAAGCAGAGATAATTACAAGCAGTGGCACACAGCCTATGACTATTTGATCAATGAAGCCGGGAGAACACGCAGCACTCAGGAATGGCCGAACCGACTCTTTCAATCTTCTCCTGATGTTCATCAATATCTTCAGATGGAACATTTTCTGACCTAACTGGAAAAGAAAATCACCTCTGAAAAACTGACCACAACCCTGAAAGACAAATGAATCCAGCCGCCTGCATCGTGTGTCTGTTTGTATCCTCATGCTTGCTAGGCAGCATATTTGACACTTTTAATCCATCAATTTCACGCATGAAACTTACACCACAACAAGCTCTTTCCCCCAGGAAACAGTGCCCCTTCCCAGTAAAAGTAACCACACTAATGTCAAACACCACTTTGTCATGCTGCTGCACTTTGAATTTAGACAGAAAATCATGCTTTTGTCAGTATTTGCCGTCGAGCATCCCGGTGTTTTTTGTCACAACTGCATTGGATGTAACTTCACACAATAAATGGCCTTAGAGTTGTTACTCAGAGAAGATCCTCCCCACGGAGCTTTAAGAGCTCTTACCTGCAGCCTCCTTGTGTTTGAAATGTCTGTAACTAATGTTCATTTTCCGTTTCTCTGTCATCAGGGTTCAACCCTTAATGATGGAAGACCTGCAGAGCACTGTAGCTAAAGCAGTGGGAACATGATGAATGAGTAATATCTGTGTGTGTGTGTGTGTGTGGGGGGGGCAATGTCGCCTGCAGTGTGGGGTTGCAGGTCTGTTTGGGGCGATGCTGGTGGACCAGTCGCACATCTCAAAGCAGAGAGGATGCGTGTTTTTAGCTGATGGGTTCCTCCATATTCAATCACCACCTGGCCTGCTTATCCTACCTCGAGGCATTAGTGAATGTTTTTTTCCACACATGCTTGTTCCCATGGCGATCAATTCCGTGGAATCAACCCTGACAACCTAGTTTTTTTTTTTTTTTTAAACGGGCACATTGAGGTCCTCTCTGCTGTTTTCCTGCTGTGATGTGTAATGACCGACTCGACATCCAGGAAGTTGAACCTCCGTGTGTTCCTCCTGCGCCGAGCAGGTCATGAAGCTCCAGCTGGGAAACAAGCCTTCCACCTGTGACTCTCACAGCTGGTGTGTGTGTGTGTGTGTGTGTGCGTGTGTGTGTGTGTGTGTGTGTGCGTGTGTGTGTGCGAACAATCACGTTGCAAAAACAACTCTATGTCTCTCTCGTCTCTGCACCAAATCAAAGAAGTGTATGTAATCAGTATTTTATAATTTTTTTTTCATATGCTAGTTTTCACTTCATTAGCTAAGATATTTTTGATATGCAAAATAAAATTTGGGGTTTAGCAAACAGTTGTCAGTCGTTATGTAAAACATCCATTGGATCCATGACCACATGTCATCCGTCTTCCCTCTTTCAGGCTTATTCTGGGATAAATGTCTTCTTTTCTCCTACAAAAGGTGCACAGAACATATTGCATTGACACAAAGGAGATGGTGTATGAGGAGCGATGTGTCACCGGGATCAAGTGGATCCGACTTCAGCTCCGACACCACCTGGAATAAAATACCCGCAGAGTAGAAGAGCATTTGTATTCTTAAACCGAGGCTCAAAAGCTTTCTGCACCCAGAGACGTGACCTTTCAAACAACCACAGCGAGAATTTCTATTTTTATGTTCTCCATTCTGCACCTCCGCCTACAGCGGGATTGTTCGGCCTTTCAGGCAATAATGGCTTAAGAGGAGGTTTTTGTATGAACATGAGTGTTCTGTCGGCTGCATGAGGCCCCATTGGAAAACCAATGGAGCAACTCTTTTTACAATAATTGGCCAATTTCGGACACAATCTGTCTCTATCATTGTCTTACTCAAGGTAGCAGATGGTTTTCTTTTCATCATTTTGACCAGTTGTCAAGTGAAGCTCTTCACTTTAACCTTGTAAAAGTAATGAGATGCTGAATGTATTTTGAACGCGATACTGGTGTCAACTCAAATGAACAATAATCAGTGCCGAATAGGGGATTAAGAATGAAAATGTATTTGTGTATAAAAAGAAGCACAACATCTTTTTTGTTTCCAGCAGTTCCTCATGAATATGCAGATCTCTCCAGCACATGATCACATCACAATGCATGATTCAGTCTATTTGTGACTATTGCTGCTGAAACTGGCACCGTGTGGTATTTCTGTGACACAGTGGGTTAAAGAGATCTTATCCAACAGCTGGCGGCTCTTCAATCGAGCTTTTTGAATATCATTATGTAAACGCCGTCGGGCCGCTTCACTCACGTCCACCGCTGTCCAACAAAACGTCCCAGCAGCGGACTTTGTGGGGGCCGTCCCGACAGCTCAGTGGCCCCCGTTGCTGTCGCTCCACAACATCACGTCAAGAAGCCCAACCGACGTACGCGACAAGTGTAACATCTAGTAGGTGGAAAAGCAGCAAGAAGGGAAAATAACAGAGGTCTTCTCCAACAAAAGGCCTGCTGGGAAGGATTGAGCAGCTCTGCAGTGCTGCTGCCCTCTGGTGTTCAAACGGCAACAAGTTTCCTTTTCAGTTTGTACATCGACCGTTTTTTAGCGGATGTTAAGAAATTACACTTCTTCCCGTGGTCAATAAACATATTCAGCTCACAATAATGTAAAATGAGAAAGAACCAGATTCATCCATCATTTATGTTTTTTGTTGAAATAAACAATGGAAATTGAGAAGGTTTTATGTCACATGGACCATACGATCCAGTTTCTGATAACTTGTGTATTGATTGTCCTGAAGCAAGAGACTGCAGAAGGGCTGAAAAGGTGATAAAATATACCTCACAACTCTGAACTTACGGATTTGTCCACATAAAAAGGTCTTGGTGTTTGTGTGCGTCTTCAAATCTGAATAAATGGAGCAATTCAAAGGTCACGGCCCATCTTTGAAATAATTTATTCAATATCCATATATGGTAATATAATGTTTCATGATCAGCATATAAAATATGTACAGAGCTTTAGTAAAAATCACAGATCCAGCTGGGAAAGCGTGTGCTTGTAGCGTAGAAGTGGGTGATAGCTCAGCAACTTCCAAGAGGATTTCTTCATTAAACAATCATCGATCCCCGATATCTGTATTCCAGATGTGCAGGTTCTAGTAGACGAGTCGCACAGCTTGAAGTCCAAACTGAGGTCGGAGATTAAGAAAGGCTGCAGTTGGACGATTTGGACTCTCTCACCTAAACACAGAAAATGGAGTGAGACACAAAAGATGCACACGCTTCTTATCTACCGATTTAAAAATGGAAGAAACAGCAAACTAGCCTTTCTTCTGCCAACAAAAGAAAGTTCAGAAATGTGTTTGATTGCCATGACAACAGTGTACCTCCACGTGTTCCTTGCGGCATGCTACCGACGCCTAAGCTTTCCGGGTACCTGTTGTCTCTGCTGCTGACGCCTGAATTCTTCCTCACTGGCAGCGAGAGCCTGAGCGAGCGCCTGATCCTCCTGCTCCTGAGGGCTGGAAAAACAAAGACAAGCCGAGAATCCGTCAGCGGAAACAAACGCGAAAGAGATCAGCTGCGAGGTTATTGTCACGTTTCTGTGTTGACACTGAATTTAGGAGAAAGTTACTTAAAGAAAATGCAGGTCGTTTTTAAAGGATACGCATCTGAGCTTTTCCTTGATTGCGCTTTAGCTTTAGGTGAGCAACACACTGTATTCTTTTTAAGAAAAGGGCTCATGTAAATTTGACTCAAACATCGTTTTCTTCACCTGGACCTCCGTTCATTGGTCTGCTTTGATAGAGGTTTACTCACGTGAGGTCCGGCTGAGGTCTTGACTCAGCCAGCGACATTTCTAGAGCTCTTTGCAGAGCCTGCTCCTCCGTCTGCAACGACAGCGCCAGAGCAACAGACGCGTTCACATTTATTTCTTCTCACGTTACTTCATCGGGTGTTGTAGTATGAAACAATTCCCATACCATGCCAGCCTGGAACGACGCGGATGGTGGAATCACATTCTGTGCTGAAACGGAAGTAGGAATCCGTTGTGCAGTGCTGAGAAAAAAGGAAGAAAAAAAAAAACTTTCTAGGCATCTATTTTAAAAGTGATTACGCCGACTATTCCCTGCATGGAATTGAAATGTGTTAAAGTGCTTACCCAGTGCTGTGTCCTCTGCTGTTGGCACTGACACCGCTAGAAACGGGTCTAGAGTGTCTTGAACCTGATGAAGCTGAGGCGCAGGTGGAGGAAGTACCTTGGGCCCTCATTAAAGCAGAGTGTCTAGAAACGAAAAAGACGGCCGTTCTTAATAGAACATTGAGGCGAAAAGGACGTCATAACCTGGAGAGCGTGACCGTACCCACCCTGGTTTGGACAGAGGTTTCCCATCAGTCTTACAATCGTGGTCTAGTGGATGCCGGTGCTTAAGACAGTAATTTAAATGACACTGGTCACAGGTAACTCGTATCATTTCCTTCTGCTTACAGCCTCCTTTAGAACATTTATTTGTGAAAATCTGGAAGGAAAAAGTTGTTATTGCTTTGATGCAAACTCTTGTGTTTTCACATGAAATACCTCAGCTTTGTATCAACCTTTCTCTTCCTCTGCGCGGGGTCCGATTTGCAATCCCGATCAATGTGTTCGCCAACTTTAATGTCGGGCATCTCTCCCCTCTTGATGGGAATGGGGATGTTGCACAGAGGACAAACTGGGACCTGGACATCCTAATAAAAAAACAAAAAGAAAATAAACAAACCTCAGAATAGGTAACTTTAAAAAAGGTAGATGGTTGCCTCTCGGTTTAACTGGTAAATGAAGCACTGCGTTCTTCAAGTTGACCTAATATGACCGAATGGAACAGCAACGTAGGAGTGTAAAGGTGTAATTACCTTTTTGTAGGATGACGTGCATTTATGGTTTGCATAGGTAATGTGGTCCTTGCAGAAAATCTCTTCACAGGCGTCACATCGCATTGGTAGAAAATCTGCGACGAAGAGAAGTTTCAAATCTCCGTTTCGAATCCAATGTATCAGGATAAAAACAACAACAACAACAAAAAAGACTTTCCCAGGCAGGACTCACCTAAACGTTTGCAGGTGTTCTCGGAGCAGTGCTCTCCCAAATCCGGAAACTCCATCACGTAGAAATAATCAGAGCCCAACTTGAAATAAACAACCTGGAAGATAAAAGTATTTGTAAAGCAGACAGGACACCGAAGAGGGGGATCCGTGTTCATGCTAGCGACCCGCGGCGATGCTATTAGTTTGTTTTTTTAACTTATTGACGGTATTTTGTCAAGATGATTTATTGATATACGTTATTAACGATCTATTTTAAAGGCTTTTAAAATGGGTTTAGATTAAAAAAAACAAAACAAATGCAGTTGCGATTCCCTACAAAAAGAATTTGCTGACTAAGTTAGCTAGCTAAGTTAGCTAGGCCATGCTAACTTAAGTAACGTTAAACGTTATACGCTTAGGTTGGTTACGTAAGGAGCGAAGATGAGCTCAGTTATACAGAACGTTACAACCAACGTAACAGCAACACGACAGGACTGTAAAGCAGCATAATGTCATGTTTTCAAATAGTATTAGTTCCCGATAACTACGGTTACTTGATTATTAAGAGACATGCTAGCAAATAGCATGTGTGTGTGTGTTAACCAGTAAGGCAACACTTTAAAATCAGGTACAGTGAAACGGTTCAAATAAATACAAATAAATCCCACATTGCTTCACCGCCCTCGAGGAGAAAGCACCCGAAATAAACACTCAACCCTCTTATTTATCATCCAGTTGTTGTTGTTTTCAACATTGAGATGACTGTTAAGTGACAATTAGCCAGCTAAGCTAACTGCTCGTTAACGTTAGAATAACGAATCATTAATAACGCAAAATCTAAACGGTGGTTTGAATTCCACTCACCAAATGTCGTTCTGTTGTGTTGTCGTAGAACGGCGGCAATAATCCTGGTTACCACCGGTGATACCTTCTCTTCTCCACAGCTGTTCGATCGCGGAGCACCACCGCCCTTTTAGCCGCTGAGCTGTCGGTCCTCCTCAAATTATGACGCGTCATGCACGCTCCTCCCCTGAGAGTGACGTAACCTGACATCACGGGAAAACACTCGTGACCCCGGGTGCGGTTAAAGACGTGTCAGTAGAAATGAGGCCTAGAAAGATCCAGTAGCCACGTCGAGAAAAGTCTGGAAAGATTTGAGAGTTTTTCATCTTTGAAAATTCATGACATTTAGCTTTGTATTTTCTTATAAAAAATCACTGGTTACCTGATTTCATATTCATTTGCCAACCATCCACCCTCTACCAATATCCATATTTCTAAATGATCTAAACATGACTCGACGGATTTTATTTTGAAGGCTAATAGCGGAAGTCTTCATACGGCGTCATCAAACTGAAATCACACGCAAACGTGTGTATTTAGAATGATGAGAGTCTGCTGCCCTCAAGCGGTCAACTTGGAGAATTGCAGCACATTAAATTAGTCAAATCATCATCAAAGCACACGTGACAGCCCGAAGCGTGAGATAAGCTGGGACGGTAGTATCAGGATAAACCGTTCAGATTCACGATGGAACCGTCGCCCCTTCAAAACAAGGCTGATTTCTAAATAAAGTGAACAATCTCGAGCAATCACACACACAAGGATCGTGATATGAATATTTTATTCAAATTACTTGCAATGGCCAGAGGTCAAGCCATGTGCACATTTTAAGACATTTAGACACATTTTACAATAATACTTAAAGTACTTTGGGGTTTTCAACACAGAACAAACATTAAATGGTGATGCGGTGCCATGTGATTGATGGGGGGTGAAAGTGAGGTGAGAGTGTGTGTGTGTGTGTGTGTGTGTGTGTGTGTGTGAGAAATATGTTAGAATCTGCAGGTACTCATGGAATATATATATATATATATATATATTCTATTATTTTTGAATATGGCCTTAACTAATTTGCAATACATGACTTTTGAAATTTTCAGAACTGAAATGTGCACACCAGTTAAGGGTTGATTTAGATTTAATAAGAGTCCTAATAAATTCAATTCTTTAAGCCTGGAAGCCTCTAGAAGGTCGTCAGCAGCTCTGATAAACGTTTCATTGAAGATTTGGCGAGCCAGATAGAAAACCAGTAATGTGCTTTCTATCTTTTTAAATATTAAACTGCTAAAGAGTCTTTGAAAAAGCCTAAAGTAACATTCAACATTCATGAAAATGTGTGTGACTCGGCGTTATTAAAAAGTGAGCTAGAGCCTTATAATTCCAATATCACAATTTGACATCAATTTTTTAAACTCAAGTCCAATCATTCAATCTTTTGACAATTTACAGAGAATGGTTCTTGAAGTACGTTCTTAAATTTGAGTTTGGACTGTTCTCTGAGATGAGGGAGCCAAAAGGAGTACGGTCGACCCCAACATAGTTGTAGATGGCACAGGGGCTAATTCACCCGCAAACTGATGGCTTAAACTGTGAATGTTCCTGAGCCGAGGACTTGAGGCTGAGCGGTGTCTCTGCAGGTTGTCCCGACTGATGGAACAGAGATCTACAGTCCACACCTTGTGTTACGCTCACACGGTAAACATCTCTTCTGAGACGCAAGATCTCTTTTAATAATGACATTTAATTCACACTTTAACAAGAAAATACACAATGCGTGCACTTGAAAGGGATCAGAAGGAAAAAAAGTCTATATTTAATGTGTTTCAATACATAATAACCATCACAGGCCAAAGTAGACAATTGATATTAGGTTAATTCAAATAGACTTGATGCGGGGTTTGATCAATTAAAATGTGGTAATGTGTATACAGATTTCATATTTAAAGAGACTGGTTATGACTTTTTCAGCGTTGCCGTCCCTCTGCTGCATATTCCAGCTCCTCAAGAGCCAAATTATTGTTAAGTAACTCAATAGAAAGTAATTAATAGACCATATTCCTCCTTCGGAGACGCCTCTCGTGCTCTGTAGCACCTGAGTCCAGATGGCAGCACTCTGAAAACAGCTGGCGCTCCTCACGCCTCTTCTTCGCTGGTGCCGCGGGTTGCAATCAAAGATCATCAGTTATTTGAGATGATTCGCTCAGCAGTGCAGAGAACGTCTGGCGGGTATTTGCTTCCCGGCACAGACGCTCTTTCAGGGTTCATTTTAAAGACATTTCGGTCTTGTTGAACTTTTGTGCTTCTGACGTTACGAGTAAAAACCTCTTTAAGCGTTTGACATACTTTTTAATTTTGTCGTATGCGATTTGTAAGAATACGCTTCATGGATTTGCATAAACCGAGTTCAGTGACGGAGGTTAAAGGTCAGCAGGTTGACTAGCGTGCCAACACGAGATGTTTCCGATGTCTTGTTCGTCCCCTCCGACGTCCTGCACTGCAGTGGTGGTCCTGACGTGGAGATCATCACTCTTGTTTGAGTAATCAGTGTGGAGCAAACGGCCACTAGAGGGCACAACAGGTCTTCTCATGCACACAGAGGGAGGTCTTTAGGTCTTTGGTCAGAGAAAGAGGTCACGGAGGCCTGAAGGTCTGCAGGCACACCAGGGGCGGCCATGTTTGTAAGGCCCGAGTGATGACAGAGTGACTGTGCTCCTGCAGAATGTGACGCTAAAGTCGACCAATCCCCAAATATACATCTCTTGCACCGTATATCTTCTTCTAAGAGCGGCAGTAGTCGATCCTGCGTCTCAGACGTTTGCATTTCCTTCACTTTGTCGTTGTGGGTTTTGAGAAAGTTGTCTTGTTTTGCTGTAGTGAAGCTCTAGGGTAAATATCTCGCTGCAGAGGACAGTCACTCCTGCCGCCACTTCCAACTTCACCGCAGGAACAAACTGCACGAGCCGAGCAACTAGTCTATATTTGAGGATGATCTTGCTTCGTTCTGCAGGCCTAATCTCAACTTCAGCCTCATTTCTTGGATTAGTTTTCAAAGTTTAGGGATGTAGGTCTTGTGAAAGTTCTGTTCAGTGCACATGCATCCACACCTGTAGAAGGTGACATGTAGGGAAGTGGAGTTTATTTATTACTCATTTCTTAAACTGTTTTTTGTGTGAAACTTGGACTTTCTTCTAAACCTCCATAGAGTCACAGCGGCTGCATGAGCCGCAATAACACCCAGTGACAAGCAGACTTTATGCCGATGTGCACCTTCATATTTTCACCCATCCAGAACCATTTGGGATTACACGGAGGACGGCTTAAATTTGGATATAGGCTACACTTTTTTTTTGTATTCCTGTAGAGTTGAATTATTATATTGAAGTTGAATAATAAGCACTGAGTCAAACAGCACACCCTTCATCTGCGGAGCTGTAATTAACGGGGGCGAAATGCAGGCGGTGGCGGAGGGTGGGGGGGGGGAGAAAAAATGCAAATTATCCGGCACAAAGGCTCCTCACAAATTGGCGTCACCATTTCTCAAATTATATCATTACTATATTTTGAAAATGTTAATCTGTTGAGCGGATTTCCCGGGGGAGTTGAGTAAATTAGTTCTATTTCCGAGACTGCCTCTCTGCGAAGGCAAGGCAGCGACAAGCACCTCTGATTTGCTGATTACAATTAGACTCCCCAGTTTGGGCTCCTTCAAGCATTGATAATTTTCGGCATATTAAGCACGTTTTAGCAAAGGTGATAAGTCAGTTTTAATTGAAATGAAATTATTATTCTAATGGAAGTTTGGTTATTATTATTAGGAGGCACTAGTCACTCTGGCTTCATTTTTAATATATAAATGCTGGGGAGTAAAAAAAAAAGAGATTTTGAAGGGCATTAGGGTGTCAGGATTGAATGAGGTAATTTGAAGGGAATTACTTTCTCTTCTATCAGAAATGAACTGAATTAAAAGTCCAAATCAATCGCTTTCACTTCTCCATTCTACTTTGACAGCGGCACAATTACAGATAATTAGATGGGAGGAAACTTTTAATTGTGGGATTAGAGGGAGAGAGAATTTGTAGGATCAGAGGAAAATTTCGAGGCAGAGTTTCTTGCTTAAAATCGAATCAAAGGATTTGCGAGCTTAAAATGGCATCCATCTTTTTTTCTGCCCCTAATGTTTAATTGGAATAGCATCTAGTTCATCCAAATCATCCAAAACAATTAATTTAGATTTAATTCTATAATTATCATCAAATCGAATAATGTGCAACCTAATTTAGATAGTTAAAAATTAACGTGCGTGAAGTTAATTGAGTAATTAAACTCCTAAACTGCTGCCTATTAATTTGCCTGCCTAATTAAAAATGAATTTGATTCTGTGCTGCTAAAGTAAGCATCAGTGTTGGATGGCGATTTGATAAGATCTGTGTCTTCTTCGGAGGGGGGGTGGGGGGGGGGGGCAATGAAACACCTATATTAAGGTGCCACTTCTTCTTCTGTTATCTTCTCTGAAGTCAGGTGAGCTCCTCCATCCTCTCAGGAGACTCAGACGAACAACGCATAGAGTCGCCACTGAGGGAAGGACGAGTGGAGGCCTCCCCTTTGCATCCTCCATCCTCACCAACGTGGTGAGTGATTAAGAGCACCCTTAATTGATTAGGACGGCATTCAATCCACTAAAGGATTAAAATAAACAGTGGACACGAAGCCACAAGAGCCGACAATAAGTGTAAACTGGAGGTCAGAGGTGTCATCTCCCCCTCATTCAGAATATATCTCCAATGGCAGCAGAGCAGCTTTGTCTGTAACCTGTTGTTCAGCTTTGAGATGACAAGCCGCCGCACGCAGTGAAATATCAAACGCACACGTTTTGTGCTTCAGAAAGTTGTTTCCCGCAGTTTTCTGCAGCGGAAATCCACATGTTTAGGCTTTTAGCTCGTGTTCGCCCATTTCCTTGTTGAGCCGAAGCCACGTGACCCATTATTTACAGGTCCGCGCGGTGAGAGAAAAGCTCATGAATCTGAGGCTGACCTGCATCTGTCTATGATTCCCTCCAGCCCCTTCCTGGGAAATCATCTTCTTTCCGGATAGGAAATTTGAATCAATTTAGTCTCGTTAGCCCCCCCCCCCCCGCGCGCTCATTGATTCAGATCAACACGACATGAAATGCAATAAAGACGGTGTGTCCAGCTGCAATAGACGCCTTTAGACCCCCCACCCCTAAAAAAAACCACCACCAACAACAACAATAGGTTTGTATTATTATCATTGCCCTGTGAAGAGCTGCCAAACGGGCCGGTTATGAAAGGTAACAAGGCAGAGCCGCAGCGCGACTGAACGGTGGCCTTGTTCGCCTTATTATCGGGTTAATTAAAGCTAGAATCTGACAATGTCACCCGGTTGTAGAAAAACGGATTTAAATGCACCGTCTCTGGAGACTGTGTCAAGGGCTGCCTTTCATGGAGCTGCTGCGTGCGCCCGAGTTGGGGTGGTGGGGGGGGGACAGGCTATATATGCTTGGAAATGAACGAAAGGCAATTATTGAATTTTAGATGTTAAGAGAAAGAAGGGAAAAAAAGAAATGAGTGGGGAGGAATTATTCATAAGATCTTGTCCGTGTGCGTTGAAATTAAAGTTAAAATACAAAGAGGGGAACGCTTGAAAGGGGAAGCTGCTGGAGAGAAAGATGGATAAATGGGTGAGATCATTTCTGAGGAGTTCATTAAAACGTGGGGCTACACACTGAAATACGCAGGCTTGTTATTTGGGCTTGGGGGTCAAGTGACGAGCGGATTATATACTTCCTCATAATAATATTAATTAAACAATTTGCATGCTAATAGGGTAACAATTATCGCAACTTCTGTTGAGAGATTCAGGTTATTACAACATGCCAATCCGGGTGCCAAGGGTCAGGGAACGAGTGGGGTGCGAAATTTCAACTCTGATTAACATTATGACAGCGCCAGGCTCGGGATAAATAAAGTCGAATTCATTATTTGAAAACCTAATGAGCAGATAGGGTTTAGTCACATATTGAGTGCAGGGGTTGCACAAGTGGAGGAGCTTTCCAATCTAGTTTCCTGAGGGGAAAGGTCGTGGATGGCGTGTAATGCATATGACTGTTTAGTTGTCATATTGTTCTTTTAGTAGTTCCTTTATTTGACTCGTATGTCGTGTTCACGACACAGCGTTGGTCGTAACTGCAGCCTTGTAACAGCATCCTCAGCTCCCATTTAAATACACCCATAAATTCCACCATTGCAATATTAGTTTTATGCACTGCACGTGGACCTGTCAGGTTGCGACGGTTTAATGCATTTAAATGATGATCCATATGCGACACGGTGAGGTTAATCTTAACTCACTGGCTTCCAAAAGGTGGCTCAAGGACCCGCAGCCAAAAGAAGGTTGTCTGAACCTGAGGAATAAATATTAAACACGGTTATTAGTTTTCCCTTTTTTTCTGTCACCTCCCAACAGGGTGTGCAAATATAAACGCCAATAGACTGCATTAGCCTATATATTAATAATAATTGGTATTAAAAGCTATGGCTTCAAGTGTGATATTTCACATTCACATATTTGCGGCAAGAAGTCCGGGAGCCTCTGGCCGAACCTATCCGCCTGCAGCCCTTCCTTCCCGGGCTGCAGTGAGCCCTTCCTCCCGCTGGGTCCCCCGTGTAGTCGCGATGTAGTTCTTATCAAAGCCCCCCTGTCTTGTTGTGACAGCTCTGATATTGTTTATTGAGGTGGATGTCAGCTTTAATTAGCAATCGATACGGGGAGCGTTTGCAGAGCGCGTCTCTGACGTCAGCGTGCATTACCGCTTCTCATTGGGTCTCATACTCCCAGAGCCCGGGCTAATTATTGGGAGGTTCATGTGGATAAAGTACACCTCATCCCTCCCTTCACATCATGTCCCCTACCCGTTGGCCACGCTCACTGCATGCTTTTTAAACCCCCCTCGCCGGCCTCCAGACGTCGTTCCCTTCTGCCCGCGGGATGATGGACAGCAGGATACTGGATCCACCTCACGCCCAGTTCGGAGGCTCACTCGGCGGGATGGTGGGCTTCCCGTACCACCTGAGCCACCATCACGTCTACGAATTAGCCGGGCACCAACTTCAGTCCGCGTCCGCGGTCCCCTTCTCGATAGACGGATTACTCAATGGCTCGTGCGCGGCGTCGGTGGGCAGTTCCAACCCGCTGCTGTCTTCGGGCTGCGGGATGAACGGAGACAATCAGCAGTACAAGCTGACAGGTGAGCCGCGTCACGCACGCTGCACAACGCGGCTGTTCACACCGGAACGGAGGGACACAAAGGCGGGATGCTGCGGCGCGAGTTGTCGGTGCTGTGTGCGTGTGTGTGTGCGTGTGTGTTTTTAAAGGGCACGCCGAGGCGCGTGAGCATTCCTCGCTAGGTTTCCTTCTGCCCAAAAATGTTCCCGGTCCAGTCGGGAAACACCGGGAGCAGATGGTGTTAGAAGTTTTTGCAGGACCAAACGCCGCGTGCATCGCACGGACGTGCTCCTGTTGGGTTTTGTGTTGAAATGTGGCTGTACGACAACAACAAAAAAAATAATAACGCATGGCTGTGTTTCTGTTTACGTTTTATTCTCATTCGGCTGTGAAGACTCGGGGGACCCGGACAAAGACAGTCCCGGTTGCAAGAGACGGAGAACACGCACAAATTTCACCGGTTGGCAGCTGGAGGAATTAGAAAAGGCTTTTAACGAGAGCCACTATCCCGACGTGTTCATGAGGGAGGCCCTGGCGCTTCGATTGGACCTGATAGAATCAAGGGTTCAGGTAAATATTTGTTTTGTTGTACCTCATGTATCACGTGAAGCGTGTGTGCGCGTGTTGTTTCGTTATTCCTTTGTTTATTATTGGTGCGTGACAAAGGCTGATTGTTTCAATTGCTGAAAAAAACAACCCTTCAATAATACATTTAGGGGTCATAAGGTGCACCTTGTTAAAATAATAATAAAAATACTAACCAAAAAGACCGACTAGATGGATGTGTGTTGTTTGACCTTTCGTGGGTTATGTTAGCCGAATAAATCAATTTTAATTACACCTTCATTTTTAACGAGGTTATTTTTTCGCAGATCTTGACGTTTTATTTTTCAAATAAATTAACAACCTTAAATACCAAAAAAAAATCCAAATCAGTTCAGTTTATTCTGACCTAAATTATGAATTTCCCAACCTACCGTTTTACATCGAGGAATAATATTATTGTTGATGAAAATAGCAAATAGAAATAAAAAGAAAAATATTAAGTGCTTAATTTGGTTTACATAACAATTTTTTTAAGTGTTTGACCTGTAAACCTGAACTATACTTGAACTTAATGGCAAAGCTCCTTTTGTTAATCTTCAGCATAATTTGGTCTGTGCACAGCTTTGTAATCAAAGGCCTAATTAAAGGCTTCCATGGGAGGCAGAGCAAGGTGCAGCCTCGCTATTCGCTAAAGTACCGTATTGTTAAAACACTGACCCTTTTTGGCCCTATTACCCCCCCGCGACACAACAACACACACGTTTCCTCTTCTCTGTGCAGGTGTGGTTTCAGAACCGCAGGGCCAAGTGGAGGAAAAAGGAGAACACAAAGAAAGGCCCGGGTCGACCTGCTCACAACGCCCACCCGACCACCTGCAGCGGGGAGCCCATGGACCCGGACGAGATCGCCCGCAGAGAGCTGGACCGCATGGAGAAGAAGAAGCGCAAGCAGGAGCGCCGGCTGCTCAAGTCCCAGAACAGGCTCGCCGCCGGGGATTTATTTCACACCCCGGGATCGGACAGCGACAGCGGGGTGTCGCACGTGACCGACAGTGACCACACGGGCCCGCCTTTTGACCCCGTGGTGGGGAAGCACACGCAGTCGACCTGCGACCAAACACCTCACCCGCTGCAGACCCAGAACCACAACCAAAGACACCTGGACCGGGAGGCTGGCGGATCCGAGCCGGACTCGCCCGACGCCAGCCACCGGCCGAGCCTGTGCTCCAACAACAACCACAACAACAACAACAACAACATCAACAGGCGCCTCCGGCGCGCCAGAAACTCAACCCTTTCAGCGTCGAGAGCCTCCCTGTCAGACTCCAGGCCCGACGCAACCCCGCGGCCTTACCCCCTCCAGGCCTTTGATAGGGAAAGGACACTTCCTGCTCTATCCCATCACGCAGCCGCTCGGATTCATTGTCCCACAAACTGCCCTGAAGACCACCACCACCACCCCCACCACGGCGGCGGCGGCGGCTCACTGCGCCAGCGACCCCCCGGCGGAGAGGAACCAGCCCGGCGCGCGCTGCGGCGGCGGCGGCGGCGGCGGCGGCGGCTCCGCGGGATGTAGGAGCGGCTCGCCGGAGCGCGCAGACGCGCCGCGAACGCGGCCGGTGGGGTCGGAGGACGAGACGCGTTCACCGCACACCAGCCCGCCCAGGGCCGCCTTCCCCGCTGGCAAAGGCAGCCAGACCCCCGCGATTTGCAGCGAACACGGCGCGCACCTCGCTCGGCCTGTCGACGCAGACAGAAAAGAGCATTTAGAGATCAAGGAGCAGCCCGAGGACCCGGAGAGGCTCCCCGGTGACAGTCCGGCGCAAACAAAGACAGACTGTAAAGAAGATGTCGACATGGAATAAACCATCCAGTGGGGGCCGAATCGCGCTGATGTGGCCTCTAAACGACACCTTTCATTAGGCCAAAGCTTAACCAGAAACCACATCTTTGCAACTAATCTAGGTTCCCCCACTGCACTTATTTTGACAATGTTCTCTCTCTCTCTCTCTCTCTCTCTCTCTCTCTCTCTCTCTCTCTCTCTCTCTCTCTCTCTCTCTCTCTGAGTGTGCGCGTGCGTGTGTGAGGAATCTCTAGATATCCTTTAATGTGTGATAACTTGTCGGGGGAAAAAACAACAACAACACCAACAACAGGAGTCCAACAAAATCCTCAAGAGCTGTAAAAAGGTATTATACTATTTATATATGTAAGGTTTTTCTTAAATAAATCTATTGTATACAAGCACCTCAAACCGTGTGAGACCTTAAATAGCAGTGCACGCAGTGCAGGACTACAGTAGCCTACAGTAGGAAGGGCTTCCTTAAGAAATCTCATGTTGTACTTTGTATATTGCCTTAACAAATTTATTCATCTATAAGCCCCCACTGAAATGAGGTTACGAGCCGGAGGCAAAAAGGACCCGCTCGACTCCTGCAGAGTTTTGATATGAAAGTAATTATTTTCCCGGTGGCTACTGCAGGGGGATTCAGTTTATTTTAGCTCAAAGGGGGTTATAATACATTACCGATTTCTAGTGATATGAAATCACATAAACTTCCAAGAATAATAGAATTAGCATGAAAAGGCCTGGGTGTCAAATTGAAATAGGAAAATAATAGCCCCGGCAGCTGGGAGTGTGTGTGTGTGTGTTTGTGCATATTGGATAGGAGATGGGGAGTCGTGGGGAGAGCAATTTCCATGTGCTTTTTTTATTCCCCCCCCCCCCCGGCCCCCCGCCAACCCCCCCACCCCTCTCTCTCCACTTTGTCGGGGCCCCTTGTAGCGGCGCTATATTAGATAGATGTTCGATGATATCCCTCATTGTTCTGTCGCTTTACATTGATGTTTCGGTGTTATCAGCCTATTGATCACGCGTCGGCTGTAATAGGACGGGCCCAGGCAAACGTGCCTATTTACAACAGCAGAACACATTTGTTCTAATAGGGTTGGCGGTCCCCAGGGAAGCCACGCGGGACCCGGGACATCTGCTCCCCTTTCGCGATATTAGCTGTGTTGACCACCGCGTCACGTCGACCCAAAAGGAAGAAATGTCAAGGCTCCATGTGGTGTAATAACATAAGAAGAAAAAAATATAATAATCATCTTAAAACAACGAGAAAAAGCCCACCCGGCCCAGCTCTGGCACGCTCACCGCCCTTTAGTGTTCTCATTGGGTCTTGATTTGCAAATAAATTGAAAATAATCAGTGGGGTGAGCTTTACGTCTGAGGCGGTGCAAATGAATTTCTGAGCCAGTGTCCCTTTCAAAATATTTACATAAATTTCGACCCATGCAGCTGTTTGCTCTAGGAAGCAATGTCTTATTAGGTTGGGGGTTTGGAGGGGGGGGGGGCATGCTGCAGATTACGGCCTGCATGGGGCCGCGGGTTAGAGGTGCATCCTCTGTGTCTGCGTGCTGCTCATATGTGCCGGGAGCCTTTTCAAAACGGGATATTTACTTATTTCATCTTTCATTCCATCGCCTTGATTTTTCCATCGTATTTCACCAGTGAGCTTACAAAGACATTTTAAATTAAACCAATCGCACGTTGTATTTTAGTGTTCCCATCATCCGAAATGTTTCCACCATTCAAGTGGGAATATTGTGACACAATTCCTTCAAACCCCAGAAATACAAGGTTTACTGACTAAATTGTGGGATAACCAGGGCCAATTTGAAATAACCCCTGAGATTTATCCGGCGTGTATTTTTCCTTGCTACTCTTAGGCTATTTGGGACGTATGCCCAGTTCATCCATAATTCATTAGCACACTGAATAGGAGTATCGCTGGCTGCACATTGGTGGCCTTAAGGTGAAATTAGCGATTTGCTTAAGTAGTTAAGCTTTTCTTGCCTGAGAGCTGCACGCCGCGTGGTTCAAGACAAACTATCAATCGATATGCCCAGGCAGCCTGCAGGAGATGTGTCGCCCATGAATCATACTTTATGAATTCAATTTATACCCAGAGAAATTTTCAATTTGAACGCCGGATCATTATGGGAGAGTGTAAATTGTTTTTGCTCTATTATGCATCGGACGCCATCATTTTTCTTTCTAATTACGGAGGTGTCAGGTCGGGCTGTCATGCAGACGCTGATTTTCAATTTAACTGATCATCATGCATTCATTTTCCCATTTGATAAATCTGCTATCTCGGAGCTTCTCCATGCCTGGAATGCTAAAATAGAGGCACAGATTGGCAAAGTAATAGGGGCCTGTATGCGGCAATAAGTGCAGATCAGGCAGCTAATTTAGCACCTCCTGGTATTTCCATTTCCATTTCTCATTTCCAACTCTCAAAGGAGGAAAAGCAGCCCAAAGGCAGAGAGCTGCTAGGCTTTCCACTATCGGAGGAAGACAGAGAAGAAACCCCCACCAAAACGGCTTGTTTTCAACCGCACACTCCCTAAATTAGGATATCAAGCTTAATTAAGGCTAATGGAGTTTTTCCTCAGTATGTGTTAGTTTTATTTAATAGAAACAAATTTGCGCAATTAATTAAGGCCGTGATATTAAGGGTCTCATTTGCTGCGTTCGAGCTGCCACCGAAATCAGCGTCTTCAGAAATAAGCCTCTCATTTTCGGGCTAAATGACGAACCAAATGCCTCCATTCCAGACATTACACCGGCTTGTTTTCCATATTATGTCCGTGCAAACCGCGACGTGAGTGTGTTTTCTAAATTAAGAGAGATCCTGATATTGCAGACATTTTCTAATTTGGCGTTTTAAATTCGAGATTTCTGTTGAAAAAAAAAGGTGGAGCCCGAAGTGAACGTAAATACGAAAACAATTTGCAATATTTCTGTTGATTGAGAATCAAACTAATATATATATATATATATATATATATATATATATATATATATATATATATATATATATATATATATATATATATATATATACATACATAAATATTGTATTCCCTGTCTATGTATCTTTTTCCACGTCCACTAGTTTCATGCTTAAATCACCTGAGACGGACAGCGCGTGTTCTCGGCACAGATCCCGTCTCTCCTCTTGTGCGCTCCGTGTTGCTGTGAGAGATCTTGGAGGCTCCGAGGGCTCAGTTTGGATAAGAAAGAACCGTGTCCCATTTTTAAAAGGCCCCTCCATGAAGTAAAATGCCACTTGACATTTGGCTTCTCCTGCAGCAACCCTGCCTTTTAGGATTATTTCACATCTACATACTCATTAATGCGCCGGTGGATTTAATCACTCTTATCTTTCTCGAGCATACCTGGGATAAGCTTGACATTACCATCTGCATTGATTTCTGGACGATCCTTAAAATAATTTTAATTATCTTGAAGTATTTTGCAAAAAAAAAAAAAAATCCCTCCTAATCAAAATTGAGTTAATACCACTTGAACACTTACGGCATAGATTTCTTTGAGGAAAAAACCCAACTGAAATTCTAGTGAATTTAAAGAAACATGAAAAAGGCACTGGTTCATCTGCATTTGATTAAGTGAGATCTGCTTTATTGTTTCTCAAGAAAAGCTTATTTTTAACTTGATGATGTCCACACTGCTTAACTTCCAAAATATTAAAAACAAATAAAATGATCAAATATGAGAACGTGAAGCAAAATGCTGCTGTCATGGTAAAACATGACAACTCTAAGTGGTTTTAATTTTCCTTAAATTGTTGTTTTCATGACCTAATTATCTAAAAGAAATTCCCAATGCATTTACACTAAAAATGGGCTTTTTTAGTTGTATCAGATCGTTGGTCTGTGAGAATGTATTGACAGTCTTGACAATTCTTTCTAATGACAATATAAATATCAGCATTCTGTATTTCAACTGATATTCTTCCAAGTAACACAAATCACTCTGTTGCTAATGAGGGCATTTTCACAACATGAAGGCTGCTGTGTTGGACCATATGGAACATCAGATTCACACATTACTTTTGATATGAAAAATGTGACCGACAAGACAAAATGGAAAATCTAAAAGTAATCAGCAAACAGCTGGAGAGCTCGTGCTGCACACGGAGATAAATATTTGCAAAAGGGCAAACGTTTATCTTTTACACTCGCTTGAGAGTCGGACACCCATCATTAGTGGATTCACATCTTTAAGAAATCTCTTTTACCCAGATTGCAAACGTAAAAGTTTGAGCAACACATTTGAGGTAATACAAATGAATATGTCCCTCGGTGACCAATCAAACATTCTATGAGTCTTTTTACTTGAAAGTTCCTCAATGTAGAAGACTTCTCAGTCAGTCAGTTTCCTGAAATGCAATAAAAAAATCATTTTCCTTTCTATAAAATAGAAGTCTTTGACATTAATGCTCATATGTGCATTAGGCCGGCTCCACATTGTTATGAAATAGCTGTAGGGAAGAAGTAGATATTAGGCTCCTCTTACCAATAACAGCCCTTTCATCTCTCTGTGATGTGAGAGGTGACTTTTTCAGAATGGTCACACCTGTTTCCATCTTTCCGGCCTCCTTATGAAAGTGCCATTTAGCTTCTTACAATCCAAGGGACAAAAACGAGTACTAGAAAAAGCAGACAATGTGTTAAAAGTGTCCCGGTGGTTTGAGGATAAGAGAGTTTCTCTTCGTACACGTCAGAGGAATCTTTAGTACATAAACTCAACAACTACTTTCTTTCAAAAAGCCGCGTAAAAGAGATCATATCAAAAATCCACATAACACAATATGAAAGTACTTCACGTAATAGTTTGAGAAACACTTTTGACGGCACACGTCAGCTCCCAAATCAGGATGCAACTTAAGAAGCTTGCACGCTGACTCAACATCAGTCTACATTTATGCACAAATGAGAAATAGAAGAAAACTGAAAAACAGTATGGGATGTATTTCCCTCCCGTTCTGGTAGCTTCGGTACTTTCTGCAGTAAAGTGCTTCAACAAGTCTTGCAAATAAAAGATCTTCTACAACCTTCACACAGACGAAGACAAAGCGGCAAACGGACCAAGGTAACACAGATATTTAAACAGAAACTGTCGATAGATGCGACAGATGTGGAGCATAGTGAGCATTAGCTTATGGTTAGCACACAGTAAACATGACGGCCCCTTCATGATGCTTTCAGTCATGTGAATATTGTTTTGAATTGACTTACAAGCACATCGATACTGTTTCAAACACAGTCAATATGGCAAAATATTTGTATATAGACCAATTACCTTCTCTGGTTATGCTGTTTCTGAAGAAAAGTGGTTGTAACCATTTAGAATAAAACCTTGGTGTGCATTTAGTTCTGATCTCT